AGTTGCAAGATGAAAATAATATTTTGTTTATTATGTTAGCGGTGATATTAATTTATATTACATATTTGGCGACTTAAGGCAATGCGCCCTAATATTCTTGCATTACGTTATAATAATTTATTTAGTTTTATTGATATAAAAAATTATGATCAGATTTGTATCTGTCTTTTAATTTTGGATATTAACATTTCTAAATTGAACAATTTTTTGCAATTGTTTGATGAAAGAAAAAATGCTTCGGAGTTATCTTGGTAACGAAGTTGTGGATCTTCAACTTGAGAAACACTGTTTCACAGAATGTGCGCCGACTTGGCAAAACGAAAAATTCGCCTCCACTTAAACTAGTTTACGACCTCCATTGCTGATATTGCGGCAGGATTGTGCCAAAGGTAGCGTGGAAATGTTAACCAAAAAGCGGATATTGAAAACGCTGAGTTTCAAGATCAGTTTTACATAACATTTTTCGTATAAATCTCAGTATCGACATTTTTTTTATTTATGAATTCGCTGTTATCGCTATTATAATGACATTGAAAGCTCACAGCTTCCGTTATTATTAAGTGTGTCAAAGTGTGTCCGGTAAAAATCACGGAATTTTCGGAATTAAACATCGACGAGCGTGGTTTTCAGCAAACGACCAGTCTCCTGTTTACTCTCGCCATTACCGAAGAAGTTAAAATTCGGCTAAATCGCGTGTAAGTTAGCTCGAATTCCAATGTTGCCAAGGATCTTAACGCGGTAAATGAGATTTAGAGAGGAATACACACGAGAATGCTAATCACGATTCAAGAAACGCGATTCAAGAAAGCTACTCCGAAAGAGTCTCTTAACTGGCGATTTGACTTCTCGAAGGAGCGGAGCATACAAGGGAAACAAGGACGACAGCGCGGCCCCTTAAGGGGTGAGGGAAGGGGTTTTCCCTGGAGATCACGCTCGTGGAAGTAAGAGCGAACGCGTTTGATATTGTGGTACTTAGCACGTAATACCATTACCAGTAGCGCAGTTTAAACTGCATTCAGGCGACGAAATCGCGACGACGAATGCGGACGCAGAGAGACGATAATCGACAGAAAGGCGATTACGATTTTTTTTTTTTTTTTATTAGGGCCGAGCGTGCGTCTGATAACAACGGCGAGTAGCTGTAGAAGCCGAGTTAATTAGCACCCGGCGTTGCTGGTGAAGATTCATTTTAATGATAATGAATGCGGCGCGGAACGTGCGCGGATGCTGATTAAAAAGAATCGCGGATTCGCGATTCACGAGAAATAATTCCACGCGGTCACGTTTTCTTAATGGTGAATCTATTTCGACAAGAGATGTTTTCTAAGAGGAAAGCGTGGAATTAATACTCTGTTACACGCAAATGGCAGGAAGAGGTTTATCATAAAAAAATAGAAGCTTTCGAAAACTTCTTTGTAGAATATTGCAAATATATAATGGGACGAACAATTTCTGACAAAGAGTCTTTGATCAACTAACGGAAATATAGTTTATGATATCTAAATGTAAATATAAAAATATTATCTTCATCAAATAAAATATAATTAAAAATTATTACTTAGAAAGTTAGAAATAGTTAAAAAATTATAGGAAAAGTTTTGCTCAATTATTTTCTGAAAAACATTGAATTTGTGAAAATTCTATTTTTTGCTGTTTCAGCTTGCTTAATTAATCTTTTACGGTACGATTAAAATTTCATTTGGTAGTCCATATCAACGATTAAAATTTCACAGTGGTCCATATCGATGATTGGTGAGCGGTAATCGATAGTAACACAGGATATAATCTTAAAACTGGACAAACCGCTGGACAAACCGCAACTCGATGTCATAAATCACACCGCGTAGCGCGGTTATCAATTAATTATTCTCTATCTAGCGATTCAAAGGCTTGTCCAAAGGTAAACCGTGGGAATTCACCTGGCGGCACCTATAAAACGTTGCATTGTAAGAACGTTATCGGAAAATCGAATGCTTCTTTCGTATAATAGCGCTTGTAGAGTCGTCGTCGGCAAGTACCCGGCCGCACAACTTCACCTACATGCACACATGCATGCGCAAATAACAGCAATCGGTATCGAGAAATCGCTCGTTGCGCGGAGATATATTAGAAATTTTACGAGCGCGACTAGAAATGCCGCGTAGCTATAGACTGTGATATTTATTGTGTCCTATTATTGCTGCTTTCGCACACGATTCTATAGAGGTAGAGTAGTTGCCGGTTGTATACCGTACAGGACGGACACCCCCGGCCGAAATATCCCTGGCATTTTTCATACCATTTATGGCGTTATTTCCGTGGGGAGTTAAGTGCCGCATCATCTTTGTCAATATAATTTTTCTATCGCATTCTGTT